GAGCCTTATTTAACTGGAGGGCTGCTTCCAGCAAATGTAGGCACCGTCACGTGAGAGAGTTGCAGCATTTGTTGCACCAGTTGACAGATGATGCAATCCTATCAAGCTATTGCGTGAAGCCGATCACCCCAGACCAGGGTGCATTGATTGGGGTGACCCCGAAAATACAAAGATAGATGGGAAGGTAACGGACTGGGGAGTTCAGAGTGAAACTTTTTTGTTGTGTTTCTTTTATTTACATTTAACACATGTCACAGGGACATGAGGGGTGATGCTGTAGGTGATGATTGTGGACTGGAGGCGGTGCGGGGGGTCAGCGGTGTGAGGACGCCAAATGTCCTGCAGACTAGAAAAAGTCGTGAACAACGTGCGTCCTCGTCCAGCCGAGGGCCATCAAAGTCCCCCAGGGAGGGACACGGGGAGTTGGGATGAGAGCGGGACGTGTCTGCGGTCATGTCAGCGCTGCAGCCACCCCTCCACCCCCACCTCCATTCACAGCCTTGCTCTATTATTGTCTCAGGAAACGGGTAATTACTGCGGGACATGAGCGCGCAAAGGGACAGTGTGTGTGTGAGAGAGAGAAGAGAGAGGGAAAGGGGGAGAGAGAGAGAGAGAGAGAGAGACGAGGGGCTCCCATCATCACTGAGTCAGTGAACACACCACATCCCGAAACCCTGACTCACCCGGCCCTCATGTAAACGTTTATCAATGTTTGGACTCTTCATCTCCATCGTCTCCATCATCAGCATTCCTCTGGGATGCACTGAACGGGGGGGACGAGGGGGACCGGGAATGGGGGGGGGGGGCAGGACGGGGGGGCTCTCCGCGGAACCGCGGGGCCGGGCGGCATTTGCGCTCATTATTCAGTTTAAGCCCCACTTTCTAAGTTGCGTAAGAAGTAAAAGTTATTTAAAATGATACATTGAGAGAAAATGTTCAAATTGGTAAAACACGTGGCAGTTTTTAGTAAGAATTGAGCTTATTTTAAAGTCGGTTAATCCCGGGAGTGAACTTTTGATGTCAAACACGTGGAAAGGCACAGACAAAATCCAAAAACGCGGAGTTGTGTTTGACATTTGCGTTTGTGTTGCTGTTTCCCTGCGCGCGCCTGTGCTTGTGCGTGAAGAGTTGGGGGGGCAGTTTGGTGTAGCACTTCAGTGAGAATAGAAAAGAGGAGGGGGTTGGGGGGGTCTTGAGTTGCAACATCAAACACCGGTGTCGTCATTCACCGGCGACGTACGTGCACCGCAGGCTCTGTTCCAAAATAAATATTGACGTGATTGTTGTATTCAAATGAAGCGGCTCTGACCGGACAAGGACGGACCAATCAGAGCTCACGGTGTCATTACACCTTCTTTTCAGAAATCATTCATAACGCGCCGTTGCGTCAAATGCGCACGGAGGAGCCGGCTATAAATACGGCTGCGCGCAAGGCACAGTTAGACATTTTCCCAAAATCAAAGGAAAGACAAGAACTGGGAACCCGACGACTCCAGCTTTTTTCTCACTCTCTTCTGCCTTCCTGACTCTATTTACATCCATCTCTACCATGGTGTCCGCCGCTGGATTGTATGTGAAACACGGCGTGGTGGTGCTCGCGGCTTCGGTACTGCTGTGCTGTGCCCTGCTGCCCACGGGGACGCAAGGGTCCCCGGTGTTAGGGCATCCGGAGCCGATCCGATGTGCGCCGTGCACTCCGGAGAGGATGAGCCAGTGTCCGGCTGTGGCGCCCGGATGTGCCGAGCTGCTGCGGGAGTCCGGCTGTGGATGCTGCCTCGTCTGCGCGCTGAAAGCCGGGGATCTCTGCGGGATCTACACGGCGCCCTGCGGCTCCGGACTGAAGTGCACCCCAAGACCCGGCGAACTGCGGCCGCTGCACGCCCTCACCCGTGGACAAGCCGTGTGCACGGAGAGCGCGGAGCCGGAGCCGACCCCCGAACCCCAGATTCAAGGTATGTAGGCCCGTCACCTCCACATTTACCCACCTCCTCATCCAACAACCGTTCAGCCTGTTCTGCTTCACCGTCACTCACTGCCCTACTCATCCTCCCCCTCTTCCCCACCTCCATCAGATCAGGGAGAGCCAGAACCAGAGATGGACAACACTGCCATCATCTCGGACCCCGGCTCCAACCACTACCCCCCCGGTCACAGTAAACCCTACGACCCGAGGCAGGCAGCTGACGCTCAGGAGAGCATGAAAGCCAAACTCAACGCCATCCGCAAGAAGCTGGTGGAGCAGGTGAGCCGCCGACCTTGCATCACTCACTGCGTGTATCTTTTCTATTATAGCCATCAGAAGAAATATGTTCTTAAAAGTTTTTTAGTCTCGATTTTGATACGTTCTTGCGAACCACAAGGGGGAGCTCGTTTCCTTTTTATTTTAATTGTGTCAGTGTAGGGAGCCTGCGAAAGCAGAGAAAAAAAGAGGATGAAGATCGCATTTTTTTTTAAGTAGATTGAATATATTCCGCAAATATCACTAGTAATTTCTAATTAAATTAGGGCAACGTTAACGTGTGGAGGAAGTCCAGACTTTACGCACAGAAAGCTAATTGTTTACTGAAAAAATCTTTCTCATTTGAGCTAAGCTTTACGACTAATATTATTAACTTAAATTAGAAATTCATAGTTATATAATTATAAAAGCACCAACCCCGAACCTTCAACAATTAAAATCTGCTCTGAACTCAAAGACACATTCCAATGTAATCTAAGAATCCTTGGACCAAACTCAGAAAATATTTATATTTCTAACTTTGGAGTCATTAATCCAATGAGGAAAACTGGGAAAAAATAATCAGAAGTCTTAGTTTGTAGACACTTGTCATCACACATTCACTGTTTATTTATTGGTCAGATCAGTTGTTTGATGGAATTAAAATAGTGTCAGTATATTTGTTCAAAGAACCCCGTCTCACCCCTTGTCTCTCCCCATTGTCTACTCAGGGTCCCTGTCACGTGGAACTGCAAAGAGCCTTGGAAAAAATCGCCAAATCCCAGCAGAAGTTGGGAGACAAGTTAACCAGATTCTACCTCCCCAACTGTGACAAACACGGCTTCTACAAACCCAAACAGGTCGGTGTCCTCAGCTCATATTGAACACCAAACTTTATTTAAATACCCTCCCTGCCCCCAGGGGGTGAATTCACAGGAGAATGACTCAGTCAGGATTATGTCAACTCCAGCGTTGGAGTGACTGTGGTTGTCCCAGTGTGACGACTGGAGGCAGGGATTTGTTTCAGCACTCGTTGGCGGTGTGACGTTAGCCAGCATGACCGTACACGTGTGTGTGTTCAACATCTATAGGCTGAAAATGAAAGGCGAAGTCATCTGTCAGCAGCTCATCCTGTATGTATGTCCTTGTTCAACAGTGTGAGTCTTCCCTGGACGGACAGAGGGGGCGATGTTGGTGTGTGAACTCCTGGAACGGCAAGAAGCTTTTAGGTTCGACTGACCTTCCTGCAGACGCCGAGTGTCCTTGAAGCCACTGATGCAGAGAAATCACAAAGAAAAGAAAAAGAAGAAAAAAAGCCACTGATTTGTTTTTATTTTTATTATTATTTTCCTTTTTGACAGCTGTTTATTTATTGATCTTGTCCATGGTGTTTAATTCAGGTACACTGTCATCACCCTCTGCTTCCAACAAACACCCGTCCCAAAGAGAATGAAAAAAAAATCTTTAATTGTTTTTTTTTTTCAGAAAAGGAGATTTTATTATTGTATTTCTTATACTCCTCAGCCTTATTTATTTCATTGTTACTACATTTTTTGTGTAATTATTTCATGTTTATTTATATTTTTTCCTTGCCTTATTGTTATAATTATATTATTATTAATATTGTTGTTATTTTTATGATTTGTATAAATTGTATATATGATTCTTGGCCCTGAGAAACTCTGCTGCTGAGTTGAGCTCGCTCTACCCTTAAAGGAGTTGTCTGGAGGAACAAAAGCACTGAGTGACCAAATGTCATTTAGAAGTTGTATTTTTTTTGTTCTTGTTTGTTTTGTTGATTACTTTCTTTGTTCTTCATGTAATTTTTTTATATTATAATCTGATGTCACACATAATCAGCTCTTGTCAGCAAATGCAAACCTCTCAGATGGGAAATCCTTATTAACTCAGAAAACAAACGGTCTCAGAAAACGCTTCCCATAATTCCTCGGGGCTGCAGATTACACATTAGAGGAGGTGCTGCGCTCCCTGCGCTGCCTCTTAGACGGGTATTTCTACATTTGACCTACCTCCGACATTTACAATGTGTCTGCTGTCACTGTGTTGACGTTAACTGTCGAACAAAAAAGTTGTTTCACTTTTTTTTTGTCGTCGTCGTCGTCGTTGTTGTCGTTGTGTCGTTCTCTCTGACCAAGATCACATGACCACAAAGAGCAAACTGCTCAGCTCTGTATCCACATGCTGCTGTTGGAGAGAGAACTGTTGTTAATGTGAGTCTACTCCAAAGTGACAAAAAGCTCACCCGTGTGTGTGTACATGTGTGTGTGTACGTGTGTGTGTGTGTGCATCTCTCTCGCTCCGTTGTAAGAGAAAAAAAAGGTGATTATATTTAATAAAAACATTAACCTCACGCCTGTGTTTCACCTCAGCGAGGTTCAGTTTTTGTTCAAACACGACTTTTGCTTCAGGACCTGATTATGAAAGCGAAGCAGACCTGGACCACAGTTTTCTATTTTCATCCCGTTTGTGTGCAGAGTGTTATCACGCTGGTCCAAAGTGGACGTCCTGGTCTAACATTAGACTTTTTTTTTTTCTCTCTCGCTCCGTCGCTGCCTTTTGACCCGCGCTCTGTTTGCCTTGGTTGGGCACAGGAATTTTGCTTCAACCTCTTGTGCCCGCTGCCAGCCTGCCTGGCACCAACAGATTTATTTTTATTCTTTACATATTGAACCTGCGCTTCATCCCTATTGACACATTCCAAGACTGAGGGGAGCCTGATTGCATTCAAGGACTTCAACAGGAGCAGATTTATGTGTTGATTGGCTGCAGACATCACAGTGAGATGAGGAGAGGACGATTGAATTATTAGCTGCTGATGACAACCAGAGGCTCTTTCTTCCCAGTCGTATGAAAACCCAGCGACAGCAACACAGCATCCAGACTCTGGGACCATTTTAGGTTAAACTTCACACTGAAATTAAGATAATAAAATAGAATCAGCTCAGATTGATGGTTAATCTGTCTTCGTCTGTGGTACAGTTCCAAATTTGTGCTGCATCATCATGTTGTGTAATAAAACCACATCATAATCCAGGTTCTGTAAAAGTCTGGCGTGTCTTTCTCCATCACAGGGACTGAAACATTCAGGTGGAAAGTCAAAAAATGCTTTAGAACTTACTAGTTTATCCCCAAATTCTATCTAGTTACACATGATTTGATAATATTATGGGGCCACATAAACACAGCCAATCAGGAGGCAGCATTTCAGATATGACCACATTAGTGAAGGTGGTTAGAGTAGTGATCTGTAATAGTCTGAAACTAAATACTAGTTTAGTGGATTTCAACCTTAACCTTTTTTTTCTCCCTTTTTTTCCAATTCTTTTGTAGGAGGCTGGAACATATTGGCATACTGTGCATAACCAGTAGGTGGCAGAAACGCAACTCAATTTTTCCCAGCTGCCATAAAACTTGAAAGAAGAAGAACAAGGATCCCCTCACAGCAAAAGTCTGGAAAGTGTAAGTGTGAAATCTTTCTCTCTTTTTTTTTGTAAGGGGATTTCAATTAGTCTTTAGCACCCCCTGCAGGGTTGTGAGTGGTAACTAGCTGCTGTTTGCGAGTTTACCTTACCATAAACCAGAGACACCATGACAGGATGTGTTCAGTTTTTATTATAAAAAGACATTAAATACAAATTATATTTTGAATCAAAGTCATTTCCTTTCTCTGTGTGATTTCTAGATGAAAAAGTTTGAATCAAAAATACTTTTTTTTGAAGGAGAAACTTGAAATGGAGAAAACAAACAAACAAACAACAACAACAAAGAAAATTGTATTTGTCACCAGAGAGATTCCTAAAATGACCAGCAGGGGGGTTAAATAAAATATGAAAGTGAAATAAAAAGTGACATTTTAACAGGATTGTGACCCTGGCTCTGCACTAACACACTGAGGGGGTGGGGTGTGGGTCAGGGGTACATGGAGAGAAGTGATTTCAGTGAGAGGTGAGAGGTTCACTGGGTGAGACCTGAGTGTCCGACTGACACAGTTTTTACCCCAGGCTGAGAGTGGCCTGCTGGGCACGGAGCTTACAAACCACTTACACCACTGAGCAACAGAAGGAAATTCCCAAAAAATATATAACATTCATTAGTGATTATATTCCCAAAAATACACTGAATCATATCGACTTTGCTGTGCAATCGGCGAGTCACTGAATTGTTGACCTAATTTGGATCAGCTTATAAGTCTTTCTTAGATAAATAATTTTTTAATTATTATTTTTAAGCACTGTACATGATGTCTAGTCAGACACATAGCTGGCCAGGAAATAATAATCATAATAATAATATAATATATATAAAAAGACACACTTACAAATATCAGGGAGGGAATAGCTTAACATATTTGTATGTATGTTCCTCCCCTTACATCAAGTCTTTGAATAGATGGGGCAATAGCACCAACAGGCGGGGTGTAGAGTTGCTGCTGTCTAATTAAGGAAGCGGACGGCCGATTTCATGCTACCAAGCTACTGGGAAAGCATTCTCAGTCGGCACTCTCCACTTTTCAAGTCTTTACACGGGATGTGGGAGAGCCTCGGGCAGGAAGCTCCTCGGGGGAGGACCACGCCTCCTTCCTCAGGCCCCCCACCACTCGTGTGAATGCATATTTGGTGCTGTGTCCACCTCGTGGAGATTTGTTGGCATACGATCATACAAGCATTTTTCAAAGAAAACAAAACAACAAAAATAGAAAATAAAACAGTTGCATTGAATGGATTTTTTTTTTTTTTTCTTCGAGGGCTTGTTTCGCTAACCTTGCTGTCAGAAGTCCTGGTGTAGCTTCAGATTTCTCTCTCTCTCTTTCTCTTGGTGTCTCTCTCTCCTTTCGAGTTTTATATTATTATTGTTTTTTTGCAGTATCACACTGTGTCATCTGACATTACCTCTAAGGGAAAGGTATGCAGACAGGTAGGTCCAATTGTCTTTAACTGCTAGCACTGGCGAGCTAACTGGCGCAGCTAAAGTGCTTTAAGTGCTTGTGCTTGAAGCATAAGGGCAGCTGGCACCTGTGGCTGAGTGAGACGGTCACACCGAGCTCACCACCATTTTTTTTTAAATTTTAAATAAGTCTACACCAGGTTGCACCACTGACAGGAAGAGGACCAGAGTTGTGCGTGGGGAGCTGGAGGTTAAAAGACAACTTAAATTATTGGGACTGAGGCAGGGACAGAGTTAGGCACAAAGACACAGACAAGTTCTACAGACGTCGAAGGGAGAGGACATGCTGGAATATAAAGTCTCCGCAGCGGAGCTGAGGACAGGGCGAGGACACGGGAGAGCAGGTTAGCGTTAAATTATAGTGTGCGTTGGGGCATGAATGGTCAGAGACAGCAGGGGGCAGGAAAGCGGCAGAAGACAGACTGAGCTAACCAAATGGCTTCCATAGTCTGTGGGGCAGCATGTGAATACCTCCATATAGTATCCAGACTCCATATAGACTCCAACAAAAAAAAAATCAGCTTGGGAGTCTCAAACCCTCACTGTTTGTTTGCGTCTACTGCAGCTAGAAAACAGTAATGCGTTTTTTTATTCCTATTTTTTTCTTTTAATTTGAAAGAATAGGTGACATTACCAACTGGAGTACGTAAAAAAAAGCCGATCTGTGGTTCTGGTGTTATTTATAGTCTGGTTTTTGCATCAAGGACTCTGTGCAGCAAGGCTCTAATACATTTTTATTAGTTATAATAAATGTCTAAAAATTGACCTGGACGACTGAGGACTCACTGATCCAAGTGATGTCCCACCATGGACACTTCAGCAGCTTAGACTGTCCGACAGCCGCCGGCTCTTTTTAGGGAAGATATATTTTGGAGGACGGACAGAGTGGATTTTGCTAAAGGCCTGGTTTCAGAAGTTTGTGTGGATGTTTTTATGCTGTTTTTACCGGTCTGCCTTGTAATCATCCGTCGCCCTTGTGAAGCGAAGCCAATCATGGCTGCTGTGGCTACAAACTGTCCAGAGTGTCGCTTCTGAGCCTGCAGGGGGAGGAGAGGGTTTGAGACTCAGAGGGCAGATTTTCAATGGGGAGTTCCTTAAGTCAAGGACCACAAAGGGTGAAGGAGAGAGGAGGCTCGGAGAGGTGGGTTTGTAAGGCACCGTAACTGCCTCCACTCCCTGCCCTATATGGTAGCAGGGCAAAGGGAAAAGCAGCAGGCAGTGGGCGTCACGCTGGATAAAACATAAAAAAAAAAAAAATCCCTGCCGTCCCATAATCCTTCACTTCAAAATGGACCCTGAGCCAGAGAGTGTGTGGTGTTGTTTTTCTTTTTACCTGCATTTGTTTTTAGCGGAGCCGGGGCTGGAGCTTAGTGACGTACAGTATTTACACAAGTAAAGCACCCGCTCACTCTCTGTGATGCACAGACATGCAGCTGTGTGAGACACACACACACACATTCACACACACACTCACACACACACTTATGCACAGACAGACAGACAGACACGTAGACATGGTGTTGGTGCGGTTTTTGGGGTCACAGTCACAAACAAGTCGTCTTTAAAGTGAGTGGAAAAGTCCCTCCTTCCTCTCTCTCTAAAAGAATAGTGCAGATGATAGGATTCTCTCTCTCTCCTCCACTCTATCAGCTTTCAGCTTATTTATTTTGTATTAAAGAAAGGATAGACGGCCCTGACACACGGGACAGACAGCTGTGATGGACAGGAGGCTTTGGACGCTCTGGATGAGGCTGTGCTCCCCCCTCGCCCCCCTCTTCTCTTCCACCCCTCCCTCCAACAGACATAAAACCTAAATCAAAGGTCCAGAGCTCCTTCAAATGTTTACACAGTTCTACAAGTTAGAGCAAAGTAGGCTTCTTTTCTTTCTTTCTTTTCTTTCTCCCAACCCATCGCCTCCTCATCCTCTCCTCCACCCCTCCCCGGTCGCTTTCCTCTCTCCTCCGTCCACTCGACGTGCCTCCGTCCATCCGTCCCCCCCACCCCCTCACTTGCTCTCCAGGTTGTAGCACTGCATCTCTCCTCCCCGCTCCCTGCCGTCCAGGCCTGGTAGTGGCTGTCCGTATTTGTCCACACACCAGCAGAAACCCCGCCTCCTGCCTTTGGATGGACGGCACTGCAGGAAGAAAAAAAGCAGAGAATCGTATTCATTCACTTACACCAGAGTCAGTTAGAAAGACATCTTGTTGTAAAAATCCTATTAGAGGAAAAATGAAGAAAACGCCAGCTGAGACGGAGATGTATGTGAGACCTGTGCCAGTTGGGATTTACGTGGTGCAGTGGGAGGAAGTCTCCCAGTTTGACAACACACCTACAGTAACACCTGGGACAAAATCCATTCTTCATCTGAGAATGGAATGGAAAGAAACCCATTTAACTTTAAATACTTAAACACTTAATACTCATAATAGAATCTGCTGATTCAGCGACCGGGGAACCGCTCACTACGAACATCTGCAGACCCATGAGCCAGTTTTTTGTTTTCCTGATGGAGTTCAGTGTCTCTTTCTTACTTAATTAAGCAGGTCGACGATGTCAGCAGTTTGGTTGGTATTTTACATCCAAGACGAAGACTTACTGAAGGATTTGTTCTCTTGTCCTGTAGAGGCACTAATGTCTCTGATAGATGAGGCATTTGGGTTCATTCGTCAACTGAATCATGGGAATATTGCTGCTCATTTAACGTGACACTTGAAGTGTTGACTTGAATGCAGGGAAACGTATTAGTTAATTTTGTATTTTGAAATGTGCGATCAGCTGAATCAGTTTATGGAATGAATTAGTTATTGTAGCATCAGACATGGTTACCTGAAAGAGGCCGGAAGCAAGTATACATTTTTTTTGTTGTCCCACAGTTTAACTGATGTTAATGGATGGCAACATCTTTTTTTTATATGCACTATATTTGTTGCACCAGCGGAGGTACTGTTGAGTTCACTAACATCAATCAATGTGATTATACTCTTCCTCAAAGTCAAGAAGGAACGTGAGGTACTAAAGTAATGTCTATGTGTGTGTTGGAAGTTTGAGGGGGTGGGGGAGTTGGTGGTGGTGGGGGGGGGTTGTCACTCGCCGTGAAAACAGATTAGGGTTTCCAGGGTGAGGAGTTATTATTCTGACGCAGCTTCATCAACACTGCCTTACATGTGCATTGGTGTATTATAATAACAGTCAATCACTGTGTTGGCTGTTAGATTTCAGATGCTCGTCAGAAGGCCAAGTCAAATATGAGTAAGACATCATCGATCACAGACAGGAATGTCTTCGCTGCTTGGGTTTTATGTCGTAGATAAACACCGTGGGCCGAGCGGCTGCTCCTGAAATAAAACAACAACGCCGGAGGCATCTCCTCTACTCAAAGAAATAACACCATCCTGGGGTGTTTGTATCATCATTCATAACCTGAGTAGTGTAATTGCTACCATTAAAGGACAAAGATGTCCAGTCGACATGATCACGTTCATCATGATCATGATCATTGAGTCACTTCTCCTCTGGTCATTGGTCACATGACATTATTGGATCAGTTCAGTTTTACATTATGGGAGGGGGGGACAGTATGTGGTATGTTGCCCTAAAAGAAGTGGTGTGACATGCGCTTTTTTAATTTTTTAATTTGCATCAATACTTTATGAGAGTAATCGATACTTGAGTACTGATCTATGGATACCATGGAATCAATACTCGCTTGCTGAGGGTTGTGATCTTTTTGCCACATCTGGACTAAAAAGCTCTGATCTGTTCAAATCCAAATCTACTCGAGATCCCTTCATGGATGTGTTCTCCTTCAACTGGTTCAGTGGTGATAAAACCCGACACCAGTTTGTCTCTGTGACTCATTCAGAACTGTTTATCAGGCCTATGTTCTACTGAGCGGCGAGGAGGGAAAATACCATGAAAAAAAAACATGTTTTGATAGAGAGAGGCAGGGAATGAAGAGCCCTCTGAGTGAGCGAGAGCGCAGGAGTGTGAAGGTAAACAGAGAGTTGCTAAAATATTTGCCAAGGCCAGTTGGAGGGCTGCAGGGAAACCAGCTCTGCTATTCTGGGAAGCTGGCAGACACTCAAAATCATCTGGAGCTGATTATGGCCTGCTCGTGCACGCCTGCTGGTGGTGTGTGCACATCAACACACACACACACGCACTTAATCACATGCGCCTTTCAACATGTTGGCACACATAAAGGAATTGTATGTGCTGTACATACAGTAGACATGCCACCCACCTGCTCACACACAAGTGCTCACATGTTTGTAGGCCAGCGTTGAAATCAAATGTGAGCTTCATGAGCAGCAGTCTGAACATGAAACAGTCTGGATGAGCTACATCGTGATGATAACTAATCCTGCTCTCTGGAGCAGGAGCTGAGACCGATCAGCAAAGTCAGACACACCTGTCTGACAGTAGCACAAAGTCAACTTTACTGCAGGTAGAGTTGCAACTATTACAGTAGAACCTTTTCGAACTTGATACATTCTTGAAGGCCGTTCATGAACCGAAAAATTCGAAAACTGAAACAATTTTCCCCATAGGAATCGATGAAAATATTTAGATCTAACAAAAAAGATTAACACAACTAAATAAAGAACAAAGCTATAAATGAGAAGGCAATTTCATTCATCTTTACCGGAGCTGAGGAGTCGTGATTGCGTAATGTTCACTTCGCTTTCTCACAAATTATTGTCTCCAAAATACTGTCGCCGGCCAAGTGTTTTTCGTTGATCCAAATTAGTAGCAACTTTTCCACTTCTTCTAATGTCTGAGATCTTTGCTTGGTGATCACAGTCACTCCTTTGGCAAGCCTAGCTTCTTTTATTGCTTCCTTGTTCTTAATGATGGTACAAATCGCTAAGCCAAACCGTAAAGCCAGATCTGAAACATGAGCGCCGTTCTCATCTTTCTTCACTTCTATTGTTGTTCTCACTATTTTTCTTTCTTATGGTGATTTATGAAATAAAAAAATAGAAGAAATAGCACAACTGCAAAATCAGACAGCAGTTCTTAGCGTGTACTGTATATCCCGAGCGCGGACTGATGCCACACACTTGTTGCTTGCTTCTTGTTCTGCAACCGAGTTATGGTACGACAACCGAGGTTCCACTGTACTTGTTCTGCCTAATACTTACAGAAGACATCAATGCTGCTGTGTTCATGCTGAGTGAAGAAGTTTTGCCCATTTGTGATCCACATCTGTTGTGAACAGTACAAATATGACCCTGGACACTTCCATATATGGTCCTACAGTATGTCAGATTTCAGTCAGACAGTCGGTCAGACAGTCGGTCAGACAGTCAGTCAGTCAGTCAGTCAGTCAGTCAGACAGGCTTCTGAGTGTGACCAGGTGTCTGTTTCCGGCAGCGTCTACATCCACGTGCAGCCTGAGAGCAGGATCAAAGGCTGCTTTATAGAGACAGAGGCCTCTTAAAATACCTAGCCAACAACTACTGCAGCAGTCTGGGGGTATACGACACTCTCCCCCCCGCCACACACACACTCACACACCCACTAACATCATCAGTAGACGCTTTTAGATGAAAACATCTTTTTCCTCCTTCCTGCTATCTCTCTCTCTCTGTCTCTCTCCATTTCCCTCTTGTTCTCTCTCTCTTTTCCTCTCCTCCTCCTCCCCCTTCTTTCATTCCTCTTACTGTGCCAGGATCTGAGAGTCTGCGGGCAGGTTCTATTTTCGCCCCAACCCAGTGGACAAGTCTGCGGAGAAGAGCTTAACATTGTGTTCCCTGCTCTGGTTAATGATGATGGAGTCCTGTGTGTGTGTGTGTGTGTGTGTGTGTGTGTGTGGGAGAGTTGAAAAGCCAAAGGACCAAAGGAGAGACGGAAGGGAGAGGAAGAGCAAAATGTGCATGTGTGCATTCCCCCGGTTGCTTGGCTACCTTTGAATTTCCGTTCAGTCTCTCTTTCATCTGTGAACTATTAGCAGTCATCTCAAGCAATCCTTTCTTTATTACCTCACACACACACACACACACATTGCAGGACAAGGCGAGCGACAGCCAAACTTCCACTGAGTCACCTCAGAGTTTTCCCTAATGAAGTCGAACAAACTTGTACGGGTGACAGCTGCAGAACAGTAGACTGAGAAAATGCAAAAAAAAAAAAAGGTGCTGCAACACTATATTTCCCTGCAGTGGTCTCGTCATTTACATTTTATTGGGAAAAAAACACAGTCCATCTCATCAAAGGAGGTGAAAAGCCATTCTCTGAAGGTGGTCTGGTCTAATTGGACCAAAACCAGGAGCCCTTACCATCCTTACTGCCTTCAGGTCCGGCCCATGTGAATGTGAGACTCACCTCCAGTATAGACCGAGCGACTGCTCTTAGGTCTTCATCGAGGAGGTGGTCTCAGACTACTTTTAAGTCAAACCTGAATCGGTTCATTTTTTGCTGTTAACACCATTTTATTACTCCATACGATTATTAGCGGTCCAATTATCCCGCCACCTTCTCCAATATAAGCCCTTGGGTTTAAAGAGTCGTGTGTGGTACATGTACCCCAGGGTAACGTTCAAATGAACAGGACCTGATTGTACTTAACGACGGACAATATCCTGCTACAAATTTAAAACAGAAATTTCCCTCGCTGGCAACCTCTTTGGCTAGCCAGAGCGACTAATCAGAAAAAGTCAATTTCAAGGCTTTGGGTTTTGACTTTGTGAATGCAAAATGGACCAGGCCAGAAAATCCATTCAACCATTTCAGACTGTGGAATGGTCCTGTGTGTAGGACAGTGTTTCCCAACCTTTATTGAGCCACGGCACATCGATATCATCAGGAAAACGGCACACCACCAGACAAAAATTCCTCAAAAGTCTGTGTTATGAAATATAATCATCTTCTTAAGCGATCTTCTTCAACATCTCTGATTATATTTTTAGTTTTCATAGCCATCTGCTGCCACCTAGCAGAAGAATAATCAGTTGTTCTGCATTTCAAGCTTTGACATGCAAAGAAAAAACATATTGCGGAATTGCTCCATATTAGATATGTGTTACATTGTCTGATTATGCTAACTAACACTTTTGATTTTATCATTTGCAAAAATAGGTATAAAACAATTTTGTCATTTTTTTCCAAATAATAAGATGTGCAAGGAACTTA